AACCAAGTTAAATATTCTCATCCTAGAGAAACAGATTGGCAGGCATGCCAAAAAATAAACATCTGTCCTCCCCACACAGACTTCAAAAAAAATCAAAATGCAGCTGAGTGGTATTTCAGCTCAGGAAGAACTTGTGAATTCCATACATTCATCTTATGAGTAGTTGACCATCCATTTTTGATGTCATAGCAGATAACTTTTCACAATGATCTGCGGAAATGTATTATTTTAATCATTTTTCTGTCACAGTTATTGCAGATTAGTTACTCTCTACTTCTTTCTTGCCATTGTAAAATCTAATGAACATTTTGGAAATAAGAACATCACAGGGCAGAAGGTGGGAGGCAGTGTGATACAATGTGTTAATATCCCTTAAGTATCCCATGCAGGAGAAATCAAGAGCTCACAAGTAGATATGTTAGTGTTCCTACTAGTTGTATGAGTTTCTACCACTCATTGGCATCTCTGCAGTTTCAGGGACAATCTGTTCTGTATCCTGTCCCAAAGGTGTCTCAGTGATTCAAACTCCTAGCCTTGGGATGTTTCCTCTTTTTTTATCAGCCTTATTGTTGCTAATGTCCACTAAATGCTTCAGACCTCTCTGGTAATGTTCCCTGCTATAAAGGGACTGCAGTGCTAAACTTACTCCGTGCTGGTAGTCTGTGGTTCTCTCTTCTACTTTGTAGTTCAGTCTGTAGTTATACAATAGAACATCTTATTGCAAGATATTTTGGCTGAAAATCTGTTCTTATTTGTCTGGTATTCTGGGTTAGAAGCCAGTAGAGTTTGTGATCAGACCTAAAAGTTGACCTTCTTTAGCTTCATGTTACCATGGATATCATCATTTTGGTTCTTTAATCTTTGTGAAATGTTTCTTTCCTCACTGAACATACTATAGAAACACTTCACATTGCTGCTTGCTTGAGTCTGCCCACATGAGTGAGAAAGATACCATAACTTTTCCGTTAGGAGTTGGTAACTATTTCTGGTACAGTTTTGGCATCAAAAGAAAATCATGGAAAATAGGCTGTGTTCATGTTCTGTGTTCATGTGTAGTTATCCGAATATAGTCTGGTGAGGGCAGTATATGTGTTCATTTCTTTGCTGGCATAGATTCTATGTGCAAAAACTATTTTTTTTAAAAAAAAAAAAAGAAGAAAGCACATGTTTCTGGTGCGTTCTCACTTGTTCTGTGTGTACACAGAGGTTTCCTACAGCAACAGCAGATTATGCTAATGTCTTAGAGGAGGCAAGCAGTGATTATGCAGTTACTGGGTGGGATCTTTGCCTGCAGTAAAAATTAGTTCTCTAAAGTAAACGTGACAACAGAAGTGCATATATGAACTGTGCATAGGCATAGATATGTTGAAACCTGTCTGCAAAAACAGCATGGTATCATTCTGCCTGTCACTGTAATTATTTTAGACTGCTTACCTAGTATTGCCACCATGTTCAAAGGCATGAGTTTCCTGACCCTGGTGTGTGCAACACTGAAGCTTTGCCCATATGCTTATCTGCAGGGTGAGTTTCCTGACCCTGGTGTGTGCAAGCTTTGCCCATATGCTTATCTGCAGGCCATGTCCTAGCCCATATGATCTTTGATTAAACTTATGTGAAGCCATTGGAAACGTAGCACTTGACAAAACTTGCCTTGGGGTTCACAGTGATTCTTGAACAGACAGAAAATTAGCTCATCTGAACTGTACCCTTAATAAAACTTCAGGGCTTGCAGATTTACTTCTAAGAGGAAAAAAGAAAATTGTGCCAAAGCAGTTCCAAATGGAGCTTAAAAGGGGTTGTACGAACAGAGAGAAAGAGATAAAAAAAATCCACGTCTCAAGCTAAAGGGAAAAAAAGGAGTTGTGCTGGCAGCAAAGAACCCTCACAGCCAGCTCCTTGGAGTTAACAGGATCAGAGCCAGTGGAGCAAGGAAAGTAATTAATATCTTTTACTCAGCACTTCCTAGACTGCATCTAGAACACTGTGCCCAGTTTGGATCGCCCAGTTTAGGAAAGGCTGATGTAAGCTGCAGGGAGTTCAGTGAAGAACCATCGTGATGGTGGAGGGTCTGGAGCACTTGCGCTGTGAGGAGAGGCGGAGGGTCTGGGGCTTTTCCACCTGCAGCAGGGATGTCTCTGGGAGGACCTAACAGTAGCACCCTCCTCCCTCGACCAGTGTCTGCTGGGATCTAATCAAGAAGGTGAAGCCAGGCTCTTGACAGTGGTGATCGGTGGGAGTATGAGAGATGATGAATTAACACTGAAACAAGAAATGTTCGGAATGGATGGTTATTACCATGAGGACAGTCAGGTACAGGAACAAGTTTACCAGGGAGTTTTTCTGTCTCCATCCTTTGGGAGAGTGAAGATCCAACAGGATAAATCCCCAAGCAACATGGACCGACCTCGTTACTGACCCTACATTGAGCAGGAGGTTGAACTGGGATTCTGTGATTCTGTGTCTAGGCACTATCTGAAGTCTAACCTCAGTTATCCTACAGTCCTGGGAACCTATGGAGAATAGTCAATTCTCAAATGAATGTGTCCACAGAGGATTTTCTGTAAGCATTTCTCCTCCCGCGGGGGAGCATGTCTTGCTGAAGAGGCAAGACCGAGGAGGAGGAAGGTGGTGACTGGATGTAGTTACCTGCTGCAGTTCAGGTGACCCACATCTTGCTTGCCAGTGTTTGACAAACCCGAAGGGGCAATGCATTACTTTTTTATTATTGATTTTTTGACATCTGTGAATGAATGGGATGAAAGTGCTATTGTGAGTATTTTCCTAGATAGCATTTAATCAGCAGGGTGGAGAAGTAACATGCCTGTGCATTTAAATGCCTCTTTCATACCACTTTCCATGTGGCCTTTTCCAACGCTGTGAGGGGAAATAGACTTTCTAATGCAGAATCTTATATCTAAACTCATTCCAACTCTGTGTGCGTATAAGGTATTCAGAGAGCTTAAATAAGTATTATTAACTGTAATGAGCTGAGAGTTAAGATTTAACGCAAAAGGATGTATTATGTTCTTATATGTTGGAAGTAGAGAAAAGCTTCTTATATAGTAAAGTATGTTACAGAAAGTAGTGGATTTTTTCTTCAGATTCAAAAGTTTTCCCACTAAGCAAATCTTGTCTGATGGATTTTGCTTGATTAAAACAGTTTTTTTTAGTCTTTTTGTTTAGTGACTCTTACACTGTTCGGTTATGTTCCATACTGATTATTGTGGATAGGGATCCACATTGGAAACACCTATTAATTTTATGAGGACAAAAGCATTATGGAAACAAACAAATGTTCAAGTGCTTGAACATTTAAAACATTTGCAAGAAGAGTAAAGAACCTCTTTGATTTTGATATGTGCTCAGTTCCTGGAGCAGCAATTTATGCAAACACATCAGGGTAAGATTTCTCCAGTAGTTACCTAGTGGAGTTTAATTGAAAGTGTTCATATGTCTCCTGTTTCCAGTTGATAATTTTCTCTTACAACAGAGTAAATGCATTTTATCCATTTTCACTCACTGGTGGATAAAAAGAAGGAGATTAGGCATCACACAAAATGTCAACAGAAATAAACTAGCTGCTACTAGACATTAAGAAAGTGGGACAATTTGGGGAAGAAAACCTTGTCTGGGAAGACCAGGGCTTTTTCTCTGGTGCTTTTTCCTCTCAGCTGTGCTGGGCAGTCCTGTAGTAATGCATCGGTTGTTGCTTCCATTTCCTTCAACAGCTTTCCACCAGGCAAACAGTTAAGATAGCCAAGAGAAATACACCTTATGACATCATCCTCTGGTGGATACATTAAAGTTAATTAGTTATGCTCAATTTTCTTTCTTTGTTCTGCAATCTGTCTAAACTATGTTTCAGGCTCCACTGATGATATATGAAGACTAAATAATATGCAGGCTTGTACGTGGTATTTTCTGACTAGGGAGACAAAAAAAATTTTTTGTTTATTTCTCCTAACCAATTTAGAGGAACATAAAGTAACGTTTTCTTTCATGGGGAAGAAAATGAGGAACAAGTTGGATATAGAAATAAATGCTTATTGATATATTTTAAAACAAGCAAAATATACTGATTTGTCAGGTGAACACAGTATAAACATTGGTGCAGACTTCTAATTGTATGTTGGCTAAAAAGTCTAAATCTTTCCTTTCCTTTTTTTTATTTTTCTTCTTCCTGACTGTATAGTATGTCTGGTGATTAATTTAATATCCATTATGACTGCAAGACATCAACTTTATGCACACTAAGTTCTTTCATCCTCAGGCCAAGAACCATTTTGCAGGCGTAATGCAAGACTGCCTACAGAGCTGTGTGGGTGTATATAAGCTCTAACCTGAACATCTTGCAGTGTTCCCAAGTGGGAGGGTAATTTCGCCTCTTCATTGATTTTACTGATGTCTCATATGAGCAAGTAGTGCCATTTTCCTCAGCCAGTGATGAATTGCGTGTGCCATACAATATGTGGGCTGTTGCTCACCGGAGGATTAAGCAGGAGCAACAAACCTGCTTCACTTTCCTCAGACCTTTCATGAGTGACAGACGCCTGAGTCATCTTGTACAGTCTTAACATTTCGATCTACCAGAGCAGCCTTCCGGTTCTTCTGCAAGAAGCTGTCTATGCTAACAAAAATGCTTACATTGCAACAGGAGCATTTGCAACAAAACACTGGGTACCTGGGCTAAAATCTTCAAAAGCAAATGAATTTTATGTATAGTCTCAGCACTGCTGAATTATGCTGTTTTTAAGTACCTGCAGTAACCATGGTATCTAAAAGTTCAGGTTACTGCAACAGTTCCTTGGCTGTGCACTGGTACATACTGTACTTAGATTTTAATGCAGCCATCTATACAGATTTTTCATTTCCACAGAAAACTCCTCAAAATGAATGAAAACAAGCGTGGGCTAAATGTTTGTGCTTTTCAATGCTTTTTCTCTTACAGGATCTTGCTGGCTTTCTTAATTGCTAATATATGCAGTTTCTTTGTCTTTTAGAATGTCGGGTAGTGAAATCCACTTCCTATACCAAAATAGCTTCAACTTCGCGTAGGAGCACTACCAAGAGCCCAGGCCCGTCTCGGCGCAGCAAGTCTCCTGCCTCTACCAGCTCAGGTAATGCAAGCAAGAAATGTTTCTTCATATTAACAGCTAATGTTTCTGGATACAATTGGCAAAGTGCTTAAGATTCTGTGTTTCTGGCAAAACACTGTATTCATAAAATAGCTGACAGTTAAAATTCACTTGCTTTCTAAATCACATCTGAGATGAAGTGTCTCCAAGTGGTATGAAGTGTTCTACTAAAGAACTTTGCAGTGTTTTATAGATTGTACTTTGGCAATATCATGGTTCATTTTCCCTTTTTTCTTTTTTTTTTCCTTTGTATCATTATTATCACAATACCTAAAGACTGAAATAAGAGATAAAGATTGTACTAGGGACTGCATAAACACAGTGTAGAAAGTAGTCCAAGCTGCATAGTGGGGTCTCTGGTTTGTATTTGCATCCCACACCATAAAGTCTTTAAACGGAAGGGGGGTGGTGATCAAATGGAATGGCCCAGGTGCTCCAGCTGGTTTCAGAGAGGGGAGGTACAGATCAACCAGCTCAATGTATTTCACAAGAGGTCTGCATGGAGCAGCAGAGCATCCTCCTTCATGGAAGGAGGAGAGATGGAGGCGTAGCTGTGGTAAGCAGGGCTAGGAGGCCTCCTACACGTCCTAAGAACAGGAGAAATGAAGAAGCCTACAAAGAAATATTGGCATATATTCTCTTCTTCTGTTCTTTCATAAAAGTGCTTTAAGTAATTTTCTTTGTGGGCAGGTAGAGCAGAGTTAAATTAAACTTTAGAAAGGGAGGTCTTATTTAGTGAGCAGATACTATGGACTCTTTTTAAATGAATATTCATTTAGGGTACAGTTAATGGACACTGAACTCTGCATGTGCGTTTTCTGTGTGGAATAACTCTCCTGCTGTGCATAAACAAATGTTTCTGTCAATGTGATGACAGCATTTTTGACACCCTGGCTACATGCTACTTTATTGGTTTTGTTTCAAGATAAATACTAACACACTTACTTAAACCTGCAGGAGAAATGGACATGAGTAAGTTCTAATTTCCTGCAATTTAATTTAACTAGTCTCAGCAGAATACCTTAGCTTGTTTAACCACTGAAAAAGATCAGAAGATTATTTTACAGCTTATGAAAAAAACGCTTTCATTGTGCCACAAAGATAATTAATACATTATAAAAGTTATAAGAAGTTATAAAGTTATAAAGTTATAAGAAAATTCCTATGGTAATGGAAATATTTTTTTAAAAAGCGTTTTGGAAGCCTCTATGTTAATGACAGATTTACCTATTCAAAACACATTAAAAATATATATATAACTTTGTGGAACATGAACATATCATAGTCTGCCAGATCTGCCCCATCTGACAGCATGATTGGAACATTGTATTGAGGAAGATTTCCCTAGAAAGAGATACTGGAGCAGAAATGTACAGGATGCTGACAGAACACCTGCCTGGATAGTAGCCTGTAACTTGTTACAGCGTAAAAAGGACAAACACTTTACATTTTTTTTTTAATTAACTGCATTGGGAACATGGATTTGATTTGGTTGTTTCTAACTTCTATGTTTGCTTTCTGCAAACAACAAAGAAGAAAAGTCATGTGAATGTTCAAAAAAAAAAAATTCCTAACCTGAATATTTGCATGAATGTTTACATCAATATTGCTGTCACAAAAGGGATCCGTATTGTCTGAGTAGGTACTTGCCCTTAAGAAGTGTTTTTAGGACAAATTAAAAAAGCTTGATATGAGACTCAGAAAGCAACAGCTAAGCTGGAGTAAGTAAGAGCTTCAGGCTAAATCAAACATTCTGCTTGAAGCATAAATTTTTTTTTGCAGTTTTTCCTGTTGCTGTCTCAAGGTAGAGAAGTCTGCTCCTAACTGAAAATAGTCATTGTTTATATAGTCTCTTTTGGTCCTTTAAATATTAAAAAGGGTTTGAAAGAAGAGGGAAAAAAAATAAAAATTGTTGTTAAAACCCCAAATTTTACCATTAAGTGCAGATATTACATAGGTTTCACTAGTACACTTTCCAGTAGGCCTAAAAATACTGCCTGTTTATTATAATTACATACACATGACAGGAGCAGAATATAGAAATTACCATATAGTGCACATACCTATGGATATGTTTTTCTGTATTGTTTACATATAGAGAACATCTTCTCAATATTAGAGTCTTCTTTTGCTGTCACTGTTGCTAGTGCTGAGTGTGTATATATGTGTATTTTTTTCTTATGTGCTTTCAAACTGCTTTCAGTTCACCTTGAACTTATTGCTAGGAAATTTTTGTTCATTAGACATAAACATAAAAAATAGTTGAGAAGCAGAGGAGGTTCCTTGCTAAGAACATAGACAATACATAAATTCAAAACATATACATATAACAATACACATATAAAAAAACAAAGGCGTGTACATGTAGAGGGCCTTCCTCAATTATCATTCTTTAAAGTTTTGTGCTTTACAACTTTTAGAGGGAGGCAAAAAGTTGAGAAGAGTAGGGAGATGGGGTAGGGAGATGGGGTAGGCAGAAAGCATTACTAGCAGATGAGAAAAAGCCAAGTGAGAGCACCTTTTAGGACAAAAGGCTTTCTAAAGAGGTTTGTGTTGCTAAGTAGAAAGTGATTCCTCTTGTTTAGCTCCTGCTGCATTTCAGAAAATCTGCCCATTCTTGCCACACAAAAGCAATATGTGGCTCAGTCATCAATTCTTGTCCTTATCAGCATAATGCACATACATTACCACATGAGTCAGAAGACACAAACACTATGACTAGATACAAATGCTAGATTAAAAAATGCCAAAATTGCAAAATCAGTTATTAAAACTGACAAAAATCTAATATGAGAGGATGACCCCGAGTTACCCTTATTTTTCTCCTATATGCATCAAAATTACAGTGCAGTCTTTAATGCATTCAGTTAGCCTAAAATGAGGAAAAAAATGCATTTGCTTTTACACAATTTCTTGACATTTTTAAGGGGAAAGTATGCCCTTCTGTAGACAGTAGTTGCCTTCTTCCATCATTGTTTTTTTCCTTCTTTTTCTTTGGTGCACCATATTTTTACTATGCTTAGATTTTCCTGGTAGCCTCTCTGGCTTCTGAGGGTGGATGCATCCTGTTTTTATGTGAAAACACAGCACACCCTTTCTTAAAAGACATAGGCTAGCTGGGAAGATCTGTGGTAAGGGCCAGCTTCTGTGTTATTTTGTGTTTAATGCAGCCTTTTATTTGTATCTGACAGTGTTTCAAAACAGTGTCACAAGATGGAAATCTCACTGCAGGAGGATTGCTGCCCGATTTTGACTAATGAATTTGAGATTTGGTTTGTTCCAAAATGCTCACAGCCTACATAGATGAGAGCAAACAGGAATAAAGCAAGGGAACAAGAGCAGAGAAAGGTATCGTGACCTCCCAGGCGGGCAGTGTGCTCAAGTCTAGCTCCAAGTGCAATAGATAATCCTGCCTTTATTTATTTTTTTTCCTGAGGTATTCTCCAAGACTGTAAAACTTTGATATTTTTTGTTGGCATTGGGTATTGTTCAGGAGACGACAGTACAAAAGAGATGTTGAATTTCAGTGAGGCCACTTATCAACCCATTGCCAGTGACTGAAAATTATGTCTGAGAGCTATTCAGTAGCTGTCGGCTTCTGTCCAGCTACCAATTAACACCACTGGTGGCAGCCTCAGTTCAGGTGAGGAGCCCACAGATCTGAAGCAAGCCACCACTCTTGCTTCTTCGTGGCCATTATTTTTAATCAAAACAAGAACAGCTCGAGACAGCTGGAATTATTATATCCTCAGTCCCTTAAATTATGGAAAGTTATTGCATACAGGTAAACTCTTTTTAGTTTCTGAAATCCAAACTCTAATTTTCAGGACTTACTTTTAACAAAAACAACAACTTTTTTTTTTTTTTTTTAAATTCCGGGCACCTTCTTCAGAACTATTTCCTTCCCACCTCTCTTTCCCCCATCTTACCCTGAAACTATCTCCCAAAATATTCTAAATCCTTAAGATGTTGTTTGTAACTGTGATTTAGGTCTAGTGTGAATTTAAGTTGCTGAGTACTAGTGTTTTTCAGGAGTAAGTGAAATAATAATATATTCTCTGTGACAGAGGGAATGTTTGTGAAGAATTGATAGAGTAGGTGGTAATATCTTGGGCTGTGTGTTTTTTTAAAAACTGCAGCTGGGCAAAGAAGGCATGAAGTCATTTTAAAACTATAACCTGATAGATATCCCCTAAAGAAAAAATGTTTTAGGATACAGAAATTGGATCTTACTCAAAAGCTTCTCTAGAGCAGATGCTTGTACTTTCCTAAGCTATTTAGAAAAAAAAAAAAAAAAGAGCTAGATATGTTCCTTTGTAAAAAGATGTTTTCATTTAGTTTGCTCATCCTTAGGCCCCTATCCTCTAACCAGAAACAACCCTTCTTCTGCCACCTGACTCAAGAAGATCTTTTGGGTCCCAAAGCAAGGAGCATGACGTAAAATATTATCTTCAGTGAGGCCACATGTTTTTATTCACACTATTATATATACTCATCTGGCAGTTTTTTTTCTTTTCTAAGAAATGTGCTGAAGCAAAACTTTTTCTGAATTGAACAGCGCAAACCCATGGGAGTGATGGAGTCATCCTACAGTCCCAGAGTTTTCCAAAATAGTTTTACTTTGATCCTATGATCCTTTAATTTTTTATTTATATTGATGATATTTAGAACTTAATATTAAACGATTAAGTTTTATAATTTTATAGCTTGTATTTAAACCAAGAGTTAAAAAGAGAAATAGAGATGGTTATACTAGTTTAAGCATCTAAGAGCAAACAAGCCTTCAAGTTGGTAGTCGTTTCCTTTAGGCTAATTCGAGAATCTTTGTCTTTCTAATTAGGCAAAACAGTTCAAAAGAAAGAGATTTTCATTAAGTCTTACATAAATTTAGGTGTTTTCTAGGTTATGCATTACAGTGTCTACAACACATCTGCATCTGGTTTTCGGTGTGGGCATAGCTCAGACAGGTTCAGGTTGCCATCTCGGTGGGGTGCTAGTGGCCACCCCATGAGATCCATGTTGGCCAAGGGGCTGAGACTCATCCTCCCCTCTTGGGTGGCTTTTAAAATCTGTGCTGCTTGGGGTATGTGTTGAGGCTGGCATACTGGTGACTTCCCAAAATGAGTTTAAAGTTTGCTTATGTGTCTGATGTTGCTGGGGTGGGAATATAAATCTGACCTGAAACTGGTCTTTTCTGCCGACATTTCTAATATGCTGATAGGCTTAAAGCTCTGTTAAGCTTTGTCTTCAGCGGCAGAGATGCTCTTTTTATATCTGGATAAAAGACTGAACATAAAAAGGACTGTTTAGCAGTAGTTAAAATGTATGCAGTGCTGACTATCAGGAATATATCTCAGCTCATTGTACTAAGGAAGAACCTATTAAAGGCTTCACTGAGGAGCGATAATGAAATTGCTTTCTTGATCATCGCTCTGACCAAACTCTCTCTTTTGCAATGTAGACAAAAATTGAGAGATGTATATAGTTAAAATACAAATGCAGAAGGAAAGTAAAAGCAAGGTATGTCTTCCTTGCACAGAAGTGTTATTCTGAAAAGTGAAATGGCAAACTATAAGAGTTATTGGGACAAGGTCAAGTAGTGATCTTGCATCACTATTTTCTAATTAATTTTGCTGAACACAACCTACACATGTTGTGACTTCCGTAAATTATCCTGTACTTTAGAGTGCTTCTTCTCCTAGTCTTCAAAAAGTTATGGATGGGAAAAAGCCTACACCATTCCCTTCTCTCGGTCCCCTCTCTCCTGTTTTTTTTGCATACACTTCTTTTTTGTTCAACAAACCGCTTTTGTAAACTCAGAGTCATCCCAACGTGTGCACAGAGTACAAGATGGTCACACATCAACAGGCAGGTTTTATAAGGAGAGTATGATTTTAGAACTACTCACTGGCATTGGCAGCCTCTCATACTGGCATTTGACACTATAATCCAGCTTTTCTCACATTTGTTTTTATTGCAAAATAAAATGATACATTATGAAAATGATTTATTTGCTGGAATGTGGTCAAGGTCTTTTTATTTGCAACATTTTCACTAGTTTATAAGTGTCTTCATATGAAACCTATTTTCCATGGTGGTATCCAGCTTTAGTGTTCTGTTTTGTGTTTTTTTCTCTACGTTCATATGTGTGCCAGGTGCTGCAAAAACAAATAAAAAGACAGGTTCCTGTCCTGTTGTGCTTCCAGACTCAGCAAGAAATGACAGTAAGCAAAGGATTTCATAGCTAAGCATGTGCATACATGTGCTCAGTGCAGCCACAATATTTTTGTTATTGTTTTAGCTTTTTAATACATATTTCACCTGTGCAATTTTGAACAGATAAATCTTTTTCATGAGACTATGGTAGGGTATGGTGTGTTAAGCTGAACTCACCGATCCTTTCCATTTTATAAATAAAAAGTGACAAGGAGCCTCTTGCCTCACTCAGTAAAATGATTAAACGCAAGAGTGATTTACCAATTTCATATGTCTTTATCTACATCGGGATTCCCTGTAAGAACATGTGCTGCATCAGTCAGTGAGACATCCAGTACATCTGTACAAGAGTGCAGCTTCAAACCAGAATATATCCCACCAAGAAAGGAACATTTTAGGCAGTTTAGACTATTTTCTTGTACTTATCAGAAGCCTATAATTATTATATATTGAAGATTAAATACATTATTGACAAATATTTTTAGCCATGTTATTTGGTCATGAGCTGCATGGGGTCCTGGACGTAACTGGAGTTCCAGAAGATGAACAGAGGCCAAAAGGAGGAGCCCTAGCATGGACTGGGGAATTACTAGAAATTACTGCTTCCTTCTTGGGATCTTCCAGAGTCCTGTTCAGGTTGATTCTAATGCTGACCTTGTACAGACTTTGGTCACCCAAGTTTGTTTAATGGTATTCTGGGATTAGCGTAGAATCCAACAAACTTTGTAGTCTGGGAGAATTTCAGTTTTGTTCTTCTAATCTCCAACACATCTTAATCCATTAGACACCAGGAGTTGGATTCATCTCACTTTAAAAGCGTACAGGATAGAACAGGAGGTGCAGTTCATCGATTCATTTTAGATAGTTGCTTGCAGGTGAAACAGCTCACACTCTGACAGAACCTATTGATTAATTAAAGTAAAGTCTAGAAAACAGGTTTAGAAGTAGGAGCCTACTTAATATATACTAAAGATCAGTAAAATGAATCCCATACCCAAATCCAAGTTCACATCTCTTTTTTTGTGCTAGAGCTTCCTAACAGAGCTCTCCATAGAAATTCCTTGTATACTCACAAATATCCTGGTATGAGCATTTAGGGACCTAAATTTAGATCATGCGTAAAAGGTGAGAAAACTCCGCTTAAATCTCTTGAAGGCTGTAAGCCATTAATTATGCTCTGATTTCACATGTTGCAGATGGCCAACATTAACATAATAGCTATAAGAACTGCCATTTAAAAAAACGATAATAGGAAGCGCCCCAGAACTTAATTTGACCACTCTGGGCTCCCTGATAGTGGCAAGTAATTTTTAGGGTTTGTATATGTACCTATATATTTCTTTTTAATCTTAGGTAGATACTTAGCAATCAGATGTGAGAAATACATGGACGTCGAGTACATCATTGCATGTAAGACCTAGTGGTCTCAAGTCTTTGTCTTTGGGACAAAATAATTGGAATAGTAATTCTAAGCAAAAAATTGTTTCAGATTATGAGGAAATAATCTCTCAGGAACAGTATCTGGTACTTTGTCTTATGAGGTTTACTAAAGTGTAGTTGTTATTTTAAATTTTCTCATAGCTATAGACAATCTGCTTGGTTTAAAGAGAAGACCGCCCACTAGACTTATTAATGAACAGTCTAGAGTTTCAGTTTAAAGTGAATAACAGTATTTTAGTACTGGTTTTAAATGACACTGTATTTGTTTATAAGAAAACTTTTAAGACCATCCGAGACTCCTAACAGCTCTTTTTTAATATTCTCCTGTGCCCCTTTTCCTAAATGTTTTCAAAAGTATTGATAACCAGTTTGGGGTTACTCAGAGATTGCTGGTCACATCTTGGGCATCCTTATGAACTTCTGTGAATGTGTCCATAGGCATGTCCCTCAAACTTAGTACATTTGAATCAGTGCTCATATGTACAAGCTGTTGTCCTCTGTACAAAGTGAATTTTAAGCTTAGCTGAATGAAATGGCTTTATATAAAAGCAGCATATTTGAACACAATTGTTCCTATGAGAACTATTTCTTCTTGTTCCTATGGTTATACAAAGATATCGAACCTTTACCTTAGACAGTGTCTCGCACAAAGTGATGGGAAGATCTAACCAGTAATAGCAGCAAATCACGGTTGAGTGACCCTTATTTTTCAGTCTAATGTGTTCTATTGATCTGTGTAGTATAGTAGGTACACATGTTTCTCTCTCATAATCTGTGGGCCCAATATCGTTAGCCAGTGAGAATAATGTGTAAAAAGTAAGAGAAAGCTATTAAAAATGCCCACTGTGTTTTCCAAAGATTTTAGTATTTGCCAGATTGCCACTCAGCCAAGGTTTTACAAGAGTTATTGTCATTTGGATTTTCAGATGAGTCATTTGTTATATTGCCCCCATATTGCCCCCAAAGGCGAGAGAGAGAGATTCAGTGCACAGCGTCTAACATTGCTTCGGCTTTCGGGGCTCCGTGCAACGCGAGTGGGGGTTGCAGTTGCTCAGCACTCTGGAGCGGCAGCGTTATGCTTAATTGACACCTTTGATGTAGCCCTAAGACAGCACCTGCACCTCCCACTGCTGCTCCGAAGACGTCAGCCTTACGCAGAAACGGCTTCTGCTTATGAATCCTGCATCGCATTCAGCTCACTCTGTGAACAGCCCTAGCTATCCTTAACTAATCCCACTGCTTCTCATTTTTGCTTCAGCTTGGCTTAGTGCAGAGCAGGAATTTTGCTGCTTGCCATTATCAGGTTAAACACTAAGATTTTGTCCATGTTAGAACTCATAGAAGGTAAGTCAAATGCCTCGTTGATAAGCTAGTATGTAAATATTCTCCTTAAATGCAGAATTTGGGAACCTAATTGTTGATTCTTTTTGTCCTGATGCTGACAGATACGGACTGTGATATGACAGTTGCTTGTTTAAAGAATATTTACATATATATGTGGTACACGCTTTGTAGTATTTATTTCGGTGTTTTAGTGTGAACATTATGGATAGCCTCTTTTGTGATTACTTTGTAGTAGTATTCTGTCCTCTGCTGGTGTTGTTTTGTTTATTCAATGGATAATGTCACATGCATGCAAATGATGCTTCAAAAATGAAAAGCACTGACATATTTGAATTTGAGAAAGTGAGGGCTTGCTGTAACTCAGACCTGAGATGTTGCATCCACTTTATCTACATTTTGAAAGGTCTTTTGAGTGAAGTCTGAGGTGATGTTTGGGTCAGATTGTAATACAATAATCTCTTCAAGTGAGTGAGGGAGCAACAGCAAGCAGTCGATTTGTTCTTGCAAGTAATACAGCTTTTTATTTTTGTTAGTTCCACTTGAAGCAACTAAATGGAAGGAAGAGCTTTAAATACAGCAAATATCTGCTAAGGATAAGCACAAAGAACCTTGATCTTCATTACTTTGAAGTGTAGGAACAATACAGATTAACATATAGTAGTGTCCTCTGTCGTTGACTAAACAGTCTCTTCAGATTCTTTATTTGCTTAGACTCTCTGTAAAAATTGGCTTCATAAGATTACAACCTCTGAGGAAACAGTTCTTTTGTGAATGACCTTATTTAATGCTTAAAATATGAACAGAGCAAATGAATCTGCTAAAAAAAAAGAGAGAGAGAGAGATTTTGATTTAATTATTTCCTTGCTTTTAATAATTGCGTGTATTTATTTTCTAAATTTGTTGTCCCCTTAGTGAATGGAACCCCTGGTAGCCAGCTTTCTACTCCCCGCTCTGGGAAGTCTCCAAGCCCATCTCCCACCAGTCCAGGAAGTCTACGGAAACAGAGGGTAAGGAAATAAGGAAACTGATTTCTGACAGTGGCCGGGTAGGGTCTGACATAGCCTTTATCAGACAGCATTCTCCTCAGCAATTCCTTGTGTTTCGAACAGTAGATTGGAAGAGCTTGGATACAATCCTCATTGTGTTTGTTTGTACATTTTTTTTAAGTGGAATACAACTATTCTGTGTCCTTCAAAATGCTAAATATGCTGGGAATTGATTTATCTTTGAGGGGAAAAAAAAGGGGGAGGGAGATCCTCTTTTTTTCTAAAACAATTTTTTGTTTTGTTTGTTTTAGTTTCATTTTCCAAGCATCTCACAACTAGAAGAAAATGTTGTCCAAGTCTTTTTTTATTTATTTTTTCTTAATTTGCCCTAGGCATTATAACACTTGCAAAACCTACCGCAGCTTTGATTTTGAAACAAAGTGAAACAATGCTGTGTGGAATTTAGCTGTGATACTATAGCCTTGTGTAGTAAAGATATTATCAGTGGCAAAGCAAGGGGACACCCTTCTGGTACCTTGCTGGACCAGAATTCTTAGTAGCTCTAACTTTCCACTGTTATTCTATATAGATAATCTATAATGCACCTGGCCATCCAGAATGATGGTAATACCCCTTTTCCTACTGTAACCATGTAATAGAATATTACTGGTCCAACCCAAAAGACTCTACATGCAGATGTAATTATTTTGAGCTATTCAGAAGCTGTGGGGCACACATCTATTTATCTTCTCTTCTGATATTTTCTAAACTGTGATCAGTTGTTCTCAAAGAAAGCTTCCCTAAGGCAGTGCTCTATATCTCAGACTTCTGTTTACTAGTACAGTTGAAATACATGTTTGTTTGTTTTTTTTCCTGTCTGTTTAAGACATAATTTGTATCTCTCAAAGCAAGAGATTATACACAGAATTGACAGTGCTTGACTTTAGCAGCAAGTGCATTCCTGATGCCCCAGATATCCATCCCAGGGATAGCTGGAAAGAGGCATGAGACCCTTCATGCCTGTACATTCTTCTCTCTTTCTCATGGATACCAGAAGGCAGAGGAATTGTGCATGTCCAAGTCTTATACCAAGCTGGGATTGGGCAGTGAGATTCTGTCGTGACTTGCTTGTACATTTGGAAGTTGACTTGGAAGTACTCTGTGGTCTTCCAGCATAGAGGTAGCCACTGAGAGTCAGCTTGAAACCTCAGAATAGTCATTTTGTTCATTGTTTGATGCACAGTAAGTAAAGATGAAAGTTATAGTTGGGTAAGTTGGTAGTAAAATCTCCTTGACTGCAGTGTCCTGTTTGCTCTTATTCTCAAGACTCATGAATGAATCATTAATAAATCATTGAAGAGTCTTCCTAATGAATTATACATTGATGATGTAACGGTGTCTATTAAGATGCATGATATCAGAATATAGTGGATTTTCATTCGTTCTAAGGCTTCCTCTTTCCATTGGTAACCCTCCAAAGCTTCCTTTGTTGCTTCTAACCACTTAATGAATAAATGTTTTTCTGTTAACATTTGTGGATGGCTGAATGGGAACCATGTGGTCAACACCATTACACACAGGATGTGTTTGTCCATGAGATTTTCTAAATGTGAGGTGGAAGGCAAATAGGTCTCTTCTAACCTGGTTCCGTATATGGAATCACAACAGGATCACTAAAGCAGACTTATGGATGCAAAGGATTGTGTGATGGTCATATAATCACATTGCTAAGTGTTCAGAAGTTTTGAAATAAAATTACAGGAGAGAGAAAACATTGTATAAGAGTTGAATTTTCCTCTTGAGTATTCATATTAAATCCCATTGACCTCAGGGGAAATTTCGTGCCTGTCTGGAAGCAGAATCAAACCCTTAAACACAGGGTAGGATAGGCAACCACATTGTTAAAGATGATGACACCTTCTATTTTGAGACTTTATTGTAGACAAAATATATTTGTACGTATGAAAACAAAGGGTATATTTGTGTAAAATACCCTAAACCAATGTTACTTAGGTTGAAAAATCTGCTGCTCAGAATTTAAGGAATGGACACTTTACATTTGCCAGGAGAATTTAATTCAGGTCCTTTCATACTTACCTTGTGAAGTGAATGAGCACAACCATGTGACTGTGTTGTTAAGGGCCACAATGTGTATTCATATGACTGAACTAGTTGTATGAACAACTATAAAACAGAGCTTACTAATCTTAATAATATTTTGTTTTACTTTAATGCCATCTTTGTACATAACCTTTTATTTACCCATTTCATACTTATTTATAGAAAAAGTTATTTTGTGCATCGTATTGTCATAAACCACATTTGAACCCAGAGCATTTTGTATTGTCTTCAAACCCTTGAACTACAAGAATAACTAGGCAGCCACAGGAGATTTATTCCCTAGGAGGCTGTTGAGGTGTTGGAGAGAAGGGGAGACTAGTGTGACTGTAGCTCTTGTCCCCATCTTATTTGGGAGATGTTTCTGCCCATGCGCAAGAGAAGAGCATTGGCAGCTAGATCTGCGCCCTGCAGCTGGAGTTTATGGTTGGGATTCTGGCATGGTTTTACTTGGTGTCTGAGAGAACGAGCGCTCTAGAACTGAAATAAGTTGCTAGATCCTGAGAATGCCAGCCCAAGCTCAGCTGTGTAGTTATTTCCCTGTTTGTCTCTTCGTTTGGATATAATTAGAGAGTGCCTCTCCTCTGTCATACCACCTGGTAAACAGGATGCCATTGGTATGTGCTGGGTCTGGAAGACTAGAATTGGATTGAGTATTGAATCAAGTGTTGAATCAAGCATAGCTTGATTCCCCTTGATGTAACTAGTAGATCAGCTCTTCAGCATCCTCGTTTGAGTGTTATGAGGGAGCTATGGGGATGGTGCTTGAAATGCTCAGGGATGCGGACAGGCTGTCCACACTTTCCCTGAAAAACAAGAGTGAGAGGAAGTGATGGGTTTGAATTCAGTAGCACAAAAGTAAGGAACTTTCATAAATGGATGGATATCTCCATGTCAGTAGTGAAGGCCTGTGAAAAATGTTAGAATTTTCTAAAGAAAAAAAAGTCCTTCTAATTATGAAATGTATTAGGCAACTTAAATATAGGGGATATATATTAATAATCTTAGGCAAAATTCAGCCTATACTTGAGACTCGAAAAGAGAAACTAATAGGCCAGTTTAATTTTATAGTTGTAATATAGGCACTTGAAAGTCATTTGATCATTTGGATATTTTGTCTTCCTAGTATTTAAACTTGCAGCCTTTGTACTATAATTACATTTTCTTATAGTTATATTTTTAATATTATTTATTTGAAAAAAAAAGAAAATAAGCTTCTTTCAAAAAAGCATCAAGTACTTAAAAGGAATAGAGAATACAATCTTAAAATTTTGCACATAATTTTATTTTAGATCAATCATGTATATTTGAAAGTAAAATGGTGATTTATCCTTGCTAGCAAATCAGAAGATTTTTTGTACTGTATTTTAGAAATACCAAGTGTGTGTCAGATTAATATGACTGTCGTTGTTCGTACACATGCCTATTAGAATTTTAGGTGCAGAATGAGGAGTCCAAGGAATTAAAATCACCTTTATAACATGCTTGCAAGTGAAACATAACCCTACATAGATTGCTTAGATGTTTGTAAATTTGAATTTTTAAAACATTAATTTTAAGCAGTTCTTGCTTGCACGCATAGATTTCAGGTATTTTTGTTTGTTTGTTTGCTCATTTTATCTCAGTTATCCTCCTGTGATTTTTAAAACAATGCACAAAACTCAAGAGCAAAAACCTAGACCAATGCTAAAGCTGTTTCCTTTAGCCTTTGCATTTTCATGTGCTCTCCTAATTTGGAGACCTCGCTGACTTTTGGTCTTGCATGTGTTCTTGGAGTACTTTGGAGTACTATGCTCTACGCTCTACGGAGCCCCAGAAACACTTTAAGAGCGTCCAAGGTGCTTTAAAGAGGAGTGCTGGGAGCGGGCCGGCTCCGTCGGCACCTCTCTAAAACAGCCTCTTGGCTTAATGCCCTTGCAAAGACAGCACTTGTTCCTCTGCCACTGCTCCTTGATGAACTTTCTTGTGGCTTCTTGGCTGTCCGTATCTCAGGGAAGGCTCCTGTGGGCTGAAGGCGGCAGCGCCGCCTCCTACAGCGCCAGGCCTGGTTGTCTCAGGCCCTCCATCCACTCTGGGTCTCTCCTTCTGCTGTCTTGAGCTGGTTGCTTGGCTACCATCAGGAAGAGACAGAAACTAGGGCATTTTACATACTTTCTAGCAAAAAAAAAAGTATAAAATACATATCATTGTCAAGTAGTGCAGAATATATGTATACACTTAATGGCAGTATTCAGTGGCAGCCTCCTGGTTTGCTGGGTTCATACTGTATGACCAAAGGGCAGCAGGTTTTGCTTGCCTTACAATGATGAAAGGTAGGCATTTACTTTCCTACAGCTGTCTGTGAAACAAAAGGATATATGTTTTTTATTTTGATTAAAAAAATGAAAGGATTAAACTGATATTGCCAGACATTTGGAGACCCTCTAGAATAGCCAAATATTGTTTTAGTAGTGTTTAATAGGAAAGATTTAAAGAAGAAAATAATAGCTATTTAATTTTTTTATGTTCAAACTCTAGATGTATTTACTAGCCATGTGTTCATTGATTAAAAACTATTTATCTTATGAAATTAAGTTAAAAGTCTAAATGTATGCAACCTGTGTGTTTTCTGTTTAAAAGTGTCTTCTGGTCCACAGTAACCAAAGATTGTAAGACAGTTGCAGTGCAACAAATCAAACAAAATAAACAAATCTATACTGCACTTCATCTTACAGGACCTGTATCGCCCACTCTCTTCGGATGATTTGGATTCAGTAGGAGACTCAGTGTAAAAGAGAAAATGGAACAGTGTTTATGGTTTGTGATTTGGTGAAGGTTTAACATTTTAAAAGAGAATAGCTGCTAATTTACAGTAACAGTGAATCACACAAAAGAGTTTTGCATATTTAATATTTAAAACGTGGGGCCAAATTAATTCTAAAGTGTGGGGGCATTTTTGGCTTTACCACTGCTTTTAAAGGAAATAATTTGTAAAATGAGCCATTGAATATGTCCATCAAATAAAAAACAGCATTGTGCACATTTCAAGGGATGAGGTTGGATAAGGTGAATATAACGCACAGATCCATAGTGAGCACATTTATGAATAGCACTCTTTTTATCATCTGAAGTACTGATTATATGTTCTGTTTTTAACATAGGAATCTTTATTCATTTTGATATGAACTTTTAATGAATGCTTTGCTTTACCAATGAATGGGTAAAACTGCAGAAAAGAAAAACCTACCATATTAAACTGATTTTTACCATGCTGCCTGATCCCAGAACGCACATCTGGATCTCTCAGATCTCATTCTTTTCAGTGGCTAGTCTGTTTATCTAAACAAAAAGAAAAGGAAGAAATGCTGTGTCTGAACTAAAAGTGAATGCACTTATAGCAATGTTAAAGTTACCTTTCTTATTTTACGGTTTGGTGGCAAAAGGATTTTGCAGGCAAAAGGAATGTTTTACATTGCAAGAGTGGTTAATGCTGATCACTGTTGTGTTAGATAAGTAAATATGAAAAAAAAAATCCTAACAGGAAATATGTGGGCCTGCTGGCTAGCAGCATACACACAGTCTGACCCACATATGATGACACTCTTGGTGAAACACATTTGGCCTCAGAAGCTAATATTTTTTCACCAATATTAAGGACAGGAACTTTTTTTTGTTTGCTTTAATAAGACATTTTATGCTGTTTCTAAATTAGTCATTTTAAAATGAAAGCATATAGAAATGGTGTAACTATGAGTCATCCTCCTATTGACCTAATTTCTCTGTTTCCATAATTTCTTAACGTGGTCATTTTGTACAGCATGAATATGCAAAACTCCTTTAGTGTTAAGTAGATCATGCATTATAACCAGTTGCTTAACAAATATCTACTAATTCTATTTGTTTTCTGCTGCTTTATTGTGCAAATTTTAGTCAACTGCTCTAATTTACATAATAGCAATATTTCCAGTTATACGTTGCAAATTGATTTAGTATTTATCTGTTGTATTTAAGAGCATAGTATACTGATCAACACACTTCTACCATCTTATACGTTTCCTTTCAGTATCTCAGAAACTAAAGATTTAAAAATTAGAAATCAGTTTGATTCTGACCTCCTTCAAAAATCTGTAGAGACGATATTAGTAATGATTTAATATATGTTGAAAACAGGAAAATTTACTTAGTACGAAGAAAATATTTAGCTATTACTTGCTGACTTTTATGCAGAGAAATAATACACTTAAATTGATTTGTCCGTACTAAAATTCCACAACTAAAAATTGTTGGCTTGTCATACTATGGCTTCACTGTATTCCCTTTTTTTTTTATGGAGGGTATTTACAAAAATAAAAGGGCAGCAGAATACAAAACTTACCTTCTCTGTTTCCAATACTTGGTTCTAGTGTTACCTGAAGAAAAAGTCATTGATCTGGCAGGCTTGCTGAATCAGTTAGGTCATTCCATTTTAAAATGCGTGTTTGCCAT